GCCTGCTACGCCCTGGCCATCAGCCCTGATGCCAAAGTCTGCTTCTCCTGCTGCAGCGACGGCAACATCGTGGTGTGGGACCTGCAGAACCAGACGATGGTCAGGTGAGTGTGGGGCAGGCACAGGGAGAGATGCTGGCTCTCCAGGAGCTGGCTGCCCTGATAGCTGTGCCCTCCCTCTCTCCATCCCCCTCTTTCCCAGGCAGTTTCAAGGCCACACGGACGGTGCCAGCTGCATTGACATCTCTAACTATGGCACCAAACTCTGGACAGGGGGGCTGGACAACACCGTGCGCTGCTGGGACCTGCGGGAGGGGCGGCAGCTGCAGCAGCACGACTTCAGCTCCCAGGTAGGGCTGGGGCCCTGTGGCAGCACCTGGGGCCAGGTGGCACCTGCTGGGCCACGGTGTGAGCCTGTCTGTCCCCTCAGATCTTCTCCCTGGGCTACTGCCCGATGGGAGAGTGGCTGGCAGTGGGGATGGAGAGCAGCAACGTGGAGATCCTGCACGTCACCAAACCCGACAAGTACCAGCTGCACCTCCACGAGAGCTGCGTCCTCTCTCTCAAATTCGCCTCCTGCGGTAGGCAAGGGCCGTTTTTCCTGCCTGGGCTGTGGATAGCCTCAGATTTATCCCTTTGGCCCCCCTATGCTCAGCTCCCCTGAATGGAGTCCCAGATGTTGACAGCCACTTTGTCTCCTGTCCCAGGGAAGTGGTTTGTGAGCACGGGGAAGGACAACCTGCTCAACGCCTGGCGGGCGCCCTACGGAGCCAGCATCTTCCAGGTGGGCTGAGGGATTTCTGCGGGGGGATGATGCTGGCTCCAGGCACCAGCTCTGCTCTCATCTCCTGCCCTCTCACTCACAGTGTAAGGAGTCCTCATCAGTCCTGAGCTGTGACATCTCTCTCAATGACAAGTTCATCGTTACGGGCTCTGGTGATAAGAAGGCCACAGTGTATGAGGTGGTTTACTGACTCCTGTCACCATCCCTGCTCCATCAGGAAAGGGGACACACCTTGCCCAAAGCCACCAAGGCTCACAGAGGCCTCCAGTGTTGGACCTGCCCTCCTGCAGCTCTACTTTTCTTCCTCCTCCACTGCTTTCAGACTCCAAACAAAGGCCCCAGCCCCATTCTCCTGCACGAGGCTGGAGGGCTGGGTGTGTAGCCTGTCATCTCCTGAGGATGGGCAAGGGCTGAGCTGGACAGCCTGGGCACTTTCTGTCCCTCAGGCCGGCTGCACAGGGAGCTAGACAAAGCCTGAGAGCGTGTGTCTCCTGAATTACTGCTACTGATTTAATGGCACCCATTTTCTGCTGCAGAATCAGCTGTAAATTATCAGTAAAGAAATGTATTTAACTATGTTTTCAATCCCTTACTAATAAAAATGAACAAAAGAAGGGCTGGGCTGGTTCTGGGCAGGGTCTTTTGCCAGCCACTGCTGCCAGCTGTGCCAAGGGCTGGGCTCTCTCTGAAGGGTGTCCTGGGGGGCTGCTTTTGGCCAGGAGGATGCTCCCAGGGCGGCAGAAGTGTGGCTGCTCGCCTGCCATGGCAGTCCCACCTCCAGCACCGCTCTGTGGTGCCTGTGGTGAGCTGTGGCTGGGGGCAGGAGCCCAGAGCAGCTGCCACACCGCAGCCAGCCCCGCGGCTCTTGGGAGCAGCTCTGCCTGCCCACGGCAGTGCTGGCGGGCGGCCAGACCGATAAGGCAAGCGCCGAGTGCTCACATCTCATTTCCTTCAAAAACCGCTTCCTCCAGCGCCAGCCTCTCTCCCCTGTGCCCTGCCGAGCCCGAGGCTCCACCGGTGGCACCGCGGAGCTGCGGCCACGCCGCACTCTGTGCCCACCAGGGCCAGGGGTGGGCTCTGCCCACGGAGGAGCTGCCCCAGACCCACCTCAGCATGGGAAAGGAGCAGCAAGTTGTGACTAAAAGGGACAAAGGTCCTGCCATGGTCTTACCCCTTCTCACCTGGTTCCATCCCGCCCCCACGGAGCATCGAGGGTACTGCCCAGGACAAGGCACAGCTGCCTTTTTTTTTGGTTTGTTTTTATTATTAAATACACCCTGGGAGGCACAGAGGGAAGTGGGGCCAGAGCCCATCCACCCTGGCAGACCCAGAGCCTTAAACAAATAAAAACCCCACAACAAAAAGTTAAAAACAAAAATAAAAAAAGCACCCAAACAAAACCCCTAACAATGCCAGACCTCCCCCCGCTTCTCCAACTCCCACAGTCTAGATTTAGAAAGAAACCCACAAAGAACAAAACAAGGAGAAAGTCCCCAGGAAATCCACCCCGAGCAGCAGCCTGCACCATGCCTGGCCGCAGCCCCAGGGTCACCTCCACCCCTCTCCGCTCTCCTCCAGCTGGGATGCCGCAGCCACTGGCTGCACGTTCTTTGGGAAGTCAGCAGCAGGGCAGGTAGAGTCCACCTGTCCATCCACGTGGACACCTGCCTGTCCCGCAGTTGGCACCTCTCGGGCTCAGTAAATGATCTCGTAAACTGTCGCTTTCTTGTCCCCTGAGCCGGTGACGATGAACTGGTCGTCCGTGGAGATGTCGCAGCTGAGGACGGAGGAGGTTTCCTTTGACTGGAGAGAACAGGGGTAAGCACAAGAAACAGCCCCAGAGCAAGGTCCCAACCCCGACTCCTCCCGGGGAGGCTGCAGGGATGAGTTGATGGGGTTGGTTATTGCTGACACATCATTAGAGCTGGGTTGTGCTGGGCAGCTCGTGGCAGCCCCCAGTGCTGCTGGCTGCTCACCTGGAAGATGCTGGCTCCGTAGGGTGTCCGCCAGGCGTTGAGCAGGTTGTCCTTCCCCGTGCTCACGAACCACTTCCCTGTGGAGGGACAAAGCAGCCTCGTGTCACCAAACCAGACCCAGCAGCTGCATCCCAGCAGCAGGTCCTGCCCAGGCTGTGAAACACACAGAGAGAGCCACATCTCTGCCAAGCACGAGCCAAGGGAACACAAAGGGGAGTTTGGCTCCAGCAGCCAGCACTTCTCCAAGAGGAATGGATACCCCTTCTCTGACTATCATCCACAGGGCTGGCTACCAGAACAAATGCTTGACACCAGTGCAATGAGCTCTGTGACACACGGACAGAAGGAGAGGTGGCATCCATGAGGCTCCAGAGCAAGGGGGGCCAGGAGAGGCATGCCTACCGCAGGAGGCGAATTTGAGAGAGAGGACACAGCTCTCGTGGAGGTGCAGCTGGTACTTGTCGGGTTTGGTGACGTGCAGGATCTCCACGTTGCTGCTCTCCATCCCCACTGCCAGCCACTCTCCCATCGGGCAGTAGCCCAGGGAGAAGATCTGAGGGGACAGACAGGCTCACACCGTGGCCCAGCAGGTGCCACCTGGCCCCAGGTGCTGCCACAGGGCCCCAGCCCTACCTGGGAGCTGAAGTCGTGCTGCTGCAGCTGCCGCCCCTCCCGCAGGTCCCAGCAGCGCACGGTGTTGTCCAGCCCCCCTGTCCAGAGTTTGGTGCCATCGTTGGAGATGTCAATGCAGCTGGCACCGTCCGTGTGGCCTTGAAACTGCCTGGGAAAGAGGGGGATGGAGAGAGGGAGGGCACAGCTATCAGGGCAGCCAGCACCTGCAGCACGGAGTGTGGGCAGTGAGGAGCTGCAAGGACAGGCACTGTCCCATGGCCAGGGTTAGACACAGGGAGGGGCAGGGACATGCTGCAGGAGACTGAGAGGTCCCTGGCCCGAGGAGTCCCCACCAGTCCTGCCCATGCTTCCCCCTGCTCCAGACTCACCTGACCAGTGTCTGGTTCTGCAGGTCCCACACCACGATGTTGCCGTCGCTGCAGCAGGAGAAGCAGACTTTGGCATCAGGGCTGATGGCCAGGGCGTAGCAGGCGGGGGCAGAGGAGGTGAGCTCAGCCTTGATGCGGGGTGTGGGGGCTGCCAGGTCCCAGATGGACAGGGTGCTGGCCTCCCCCCCCACGATCAGGCTGCGGCCGTCGGGGAGCAGCTTGCAGGAACGGATGTAGTTGTCACGGTTCTGAACGGGGGGCCCAGGCAACAGGGCAAGGCAAGAAGGAGATGATGAGCACACAGGGGCTTGCAGGAGACACATCTCCTTCTCTCACTGCAGATGTGAAAGGCCCCTCTGTCCCCTCCAGCGGAACAGGGGCACATTTCCCTTCCCAGCCCCACCCCAAAGGCTTTCCTCTTCCTCCTCCTCCTCCTCCTCCTCCTCACCAGGCAGTCCAGCTGAGCCACGGCCGTCTTGGTGCCCGGCTGCCCCACGTCCCACACCTTGACACAGCCCTTGCCCCCGGTGTAGACGTGTCGTGTGGAGTTGCTGATGGTGACGGCACAGACCACCTCGCCGTGGCTCAGGGTGTGCAGCTGCCGCGCGTGCCGGGGGATGCCGGAGCCGATGAGGGCGTCGGGGGGGAAAGGCACCGGCTGCATCTGCCCATCGGCGCTGACGTGGAAGGAGTAGGCACTGGAAGGGAGCAGAGCAGTGAGAACCAGAGCAGAATCCTGCGTGGACGGCAGAATCGCGCGGGTCCCAGCGGGTCTGACACAGGCAGCACGGTTTGGAGTCAGGACATGGAAGGAGTAGGCACTAAAAGGGAGCTGAACAACCCCTGTGTGATGCCCGAGGGCAGGAGGTGACCTCTGCGTTAGCCACGCTCAAGCCAAAGTGGAAGGTGCCCGTTGTGCTCTGGCTAATGAGCGGTTTAATTACCCAGCTCCTTTTGACCGCCAGCTGCCAGGAATGAAATTGCCGTGCTGGACTCGGGACTGGAGAGCGGCTCCCCCTCAGCCCTGCCCTGCCCTGGGTGAGCCCTTGGCAGGGAGATGCTCCCAGCAGCTGGCTCAGCCCCTCGTCCCCTCCCTCCCTGCAGCCCCACGTGCAGCCACTTACGGCTTCCCTCCAGCGATGGTGGAGAGCGAAGAGGAGAGGGCAGAAGCCCTCAGGTGAGGGTGTGACTCAAACGCCACCTGCACAAAGCAAAGGGCACATGAGGAGCAGAGCAGAGGACACCAAAGCTGGGCTCAGGCCTTGCCCTGCACACCCTGGGACCAGGCCAGCCTGGCTCTAAGCAAGCTCCCTGTGTCCTCACAGCAGTGACAGAGGCCAGAATGGGTTCCCCCAGACACTGTTACACCAGTGGAACCAGCAGAGGCTTCTCTGAGCACGCTGCAGCCTCCAGCAGCCTCACAACCCAGCCACCTCTGGAAGGGAGCCCTTCCTACGGAAGGGAGCCCTTCCTACGGCTGCACCCCCCAGCTCAAGCCCCAGATGTTGCCCAGGGACAGGCAGCACACCCAGCCTCTCCCTCGGTGACTTACCATGGGGGAGCGGCCGTAGAGCACCGCGCTGCTGACCTGGGGTGAGAGGTGGATGCCCATGTAGAGGCCGGGGGCCGGGAGCTCCCCGCTGAGGGCGGCGTGGGGCAGCCCCAGGGAGGACGTGTAGGGGCTGGAGGAGCTCAGGGGGCTGCGGAGAGCTGCACGAGGAGAGACCCGCGTCTTGGCCCTGGCCCACGGGCGCGAGCAAGCGTCACCCGGGGGACAGGGGCACCTGGTGACTGCACAGCCACCCCCTCCAGCCCCACAGCCAAGCCCTGAAGCACCCAGCTTCATCAGCCCCACAGAAATGGCAACTCGTCAGAGACAAGCAGAGTAAACCCTTGCCTTACCCCGACCACCACCCTGGGCAGCTCCGAGCCCACCAGGCAGTCAGGCATGTGGCAATGGCAGAGGTGCTGCTGTCGGCCGTGGCTCCTAAGTCTGATTTTATGGAGCAAAACGGCCCTGCCAGCTCTGCTGGTGGCAGACAGGGTCCTGCCTCCCTCCATCCCTGCCCCACGGCGCTGTCACAGCAGAGCAGACCCCGTGCTGGCCCTGGACACTCACTGACGGTGTCGGTGCTGGGGGCCTTGGCCGGGGGTGGCCGGAGCGGGACAGCCGAGCTGGGCCCAGGGCCAGGCGTGAGGGAGTCACGGGGTGGTGAGGAAGAGGAGGGCTTGGAGGTGGGAGCGCTGGCCACAGAGTCGGTCTGTGCAGCAGAGGAAAGAAAAGCAGCTTCAGCAGTGGGGCCAGCCCTCCCCAGCACCACAGCTGGGCCAGCAGCCTCCACACCCTGCAGGGTGGAAGGAGCACCTGAATGGGGCTGGGCAGGGACTGGCCATCCAGAGCCTGATCCCATCTCCTCTCCTTTGCAAATCCCCGCTCTGCCCACAGCTGAAAATGCCCCACACAAGCTTTGGGTCACCCCAAACTGCCCCAACCCTGCAGTGCCCACCAGCACAGACACATCTGCTGCTCCCCCAAGCAAAACTCCTGCTGCATGGGGGGGAGCTCCCCCATCCCCAGGCTGAGACCAGGAGGATGCCTGGCATGAACCGGCCTCTCCGATCCCCACAGCTATTTCATTCCTGCCTCTCCTATTTCTTCTGCTTTTTCTGTCTGGGGATTTTGTCGACACCAGCAAAGGAGGAGAAAAAAAAAAAAAAAAGAGAAAAAAAAATTAATAACAGAGAAAAGCTACGTGCTGTGCTGGCAGATTGCTCAGGGCGCTTTGTCTGCTCTAATCCGATTGTGCCGGGGAGCTGCTGCTCGCTGCCGCCCGCAGCCCCCAGCTGGCTCCTGACCCCAGATGGGGGGACGTATCACTTGGTCCCTGCGGTGACTGGGAGGCCAAGGAGTGGCAGAAATGTCCCTTCCCCCTTCCCACATGCTGATGTTTCAATCTGAGCACTGGACTGGTGCTTGGCAAGGAAGAAGGAGGAAAAAAAAACCAACCAGAAAAAAAAGAAAAAGAAGGAAAAATCAATTGCTATGAGCAGCTCTGGGGAATCCTGCAGGCAGGCAGGTGGAGAACACTGCAGAGCCTGTCCTCTGCTCGGCAGCACTTACCCTACCCCAAGGGCACAGACCTCTGCCCCAGGGAGGGGGAGTGGCAGTGGGTACAAACCACCCGCATTTCTGTGCCCCTTTGGCGCTGCAGCAGACTGGCCAGAGAGAGAGATTCAGGGCTGTGCTCTGGCCCCACATCCCAGCCCCAGCCCAGGGCCTCCTTACCGGGTTCTGCTCCTTGGGCTGGAGGGGTGCGGTGCTCCCGCTGGAGCCGATGGACGCGGGGCTCTCGGGCAGCTCCCGGCGCGGTGCAGCCGGCCGGGGGCCGGGTGAGTGGCCAGGGCTGCCGGCCTCCGAGGGAGGGTCCTGGGGGGACAACAGCTCTGTGGGAAGCAGGAACGCCTCTGTGTAGGAGGGCAGGCATGGCAGGGACCTTGGGGAGCCAACCCAGGACCACCATCGGTCCCCTCGGCCCAAATGAGGAGCATCCGCGCAGAGGGCTCCGTTCTGCTCCCCTGGATGAGAAACGGCCTCGATTTTTCTCTTTGAACAAAATGAGAGGTGACAGCAGGTTCAGAGGACACTGGTGGCCATGGCTGCCTTCACGAGGGAATGGGGATCAGCACACATGAGGAACTGAGACAGGGCTGCCATTTCAGAGGCAAGGCCACCCCTCAGCTCTTGCACTCCTATAACCACTCAACCAGGTCTGTGACTTTTTATCACCACAATGAGTAGCTTTCAGAAGTGTCATTTTCTGCAGAAATTCCTGCTGATCTTCCTTTCAGGGCTTGTATTTTCTAATGAAAGTGGCACAAGTAAAAAAGACCTCATGTCTTTCTCTTCCCTTTGTCTTCTAGGAAAGGAACAAGTATGTCCCCAAAAACATCTTCACTGAGAATAGTGGTGGCTGGGATCGAGCTCTGTCACATGTGCCTCAGTCAGGAAAGGCTGTACCAGAAGCACGTGGCAGTTCCAGCACAAGATTCAGTGAATTCCCTGCACTGAGTTAAAGCTGAGGCTGCTCGAGGGCCAGGCAGGGCAGGACATGGGCTCGGGGCCTGGGGCTGGCAGGGCCAGTGTGTGCTGTGAGGCTCCTGCCACCTCCTCCCACAGGAGCTGCCAGCAGCAAGCCCAGCTCCATGGAGCTCTCATCCCAGCTTATCAGCCTCCCCATATGGGATGCTGCAGCAGAGGGGCTGAAAGGGGATTGTGAAGCAGAGCCAAGCCTGTGGCTGGCAAAGCTGAGCTGGCACAGCCTTCCCAGAGCAGTGGGAGTGGAATCAGTCTTGGCTGGCACAATGCACTGGAGCGGGGCTGGCACGTGTCCTGGCTGGCCACTGCTGCCCAGCAGCAACGAGCTGGAGCCTCAAGAACCCCAAAGCTGGGGAACCAGAGTCCTAAAACTAACAACTTCAGCTTGAGCAGGATACCTTGCCAGGCTGGAAGGGCTTACCTCGTCCACCACCAGGTTGTAGTCACTCTTGTCCCCATCACTGTCCTGCAAGGAGGGAGAAATCCAGAAAGGCTCAGTCAGGACAGGGAGATGCTGGACCAGGCTCTGTGTTCTGCCCCAGGACCCCAGACAGCAGAGGGACCCATATACTCCTGTACCCATGGACCAACACCAACCACGTCCTGCTGGCAGCGACCCACACCTCGGGCTGAGGGGGCTCCCAGGGGCTGCTCATTTGGTTTGTTCTTGCTCACAGGACACCAACCCCCACCAGCAGGGCAGGCACAGGGCTCCCCAGTCCAGCCCCAGCCCTTGCTGCACTCACAGAATGCCCAGGCAGCTCCTTCTCCTCCCGCTTGCGCTTCAGCCCCGTCCGCTCCTCGTCCTGCAGGCTCTCGGGAGGGGAAGAAGAAATGCTCTGAGGCAGAGAGGGAGAGGAAGGTGTGTGAGCCACTGTGAGGGCAGCCAGCCAGCCCTCACCTCCCAGTGGAGCCAAGCCCTGCTCCACAACCACCTCCATCCTGGCAAAGCATCTCCCTGGCTGGTGGGAGTGACCCCAAAACCCCAAACCCCAGAGCCAAGCAAGGAACATCCCCAGCACCACCAGAGAGAGATCCACCCCTGCAGAGACAACGAGCCAGGGTGGAGCAGAAAATCCCCACTTCACCTCAACCCTGCCATGAGGGCTGGGGAGCAGAATGGGACCAAGCAGGAAGAGGAGCCCTGCTCCCCCGGGTGCTGCTGGCAGTGCTGGGGTGTCACACATCCCCTGGTGTCCCCACGCCCGTGCTGCTGCAGCCACACAGCGATGGAGATGCCCCGTGCCAGGGCTCCCTGCAGCTGATTGCTCCCAGCAGTGTCACATCAGCAGCTCTGGCACAGACCCAGGGAGCAGAAAGGGCCATCCCTGTCCCCAGGCCATCTCTGCAGGAGGTGCCTGGGCCATCCTGGCACCACAGACACCTCCTCTGCTCCCTCCTCTCCCACCTTGCAAGCCCAAGCTCAATGCCCAGGGTTCCCCAACACGGAGATTATTAACCCTTCCTTCCCCTGCTTGTAGCATGGATTCTGCAGAGCTACTGTGGAGCTCTGGGACTGGGGGATGCTAAAAGGGAGGGGGCAGCCAAGGACTGCAGAGGGGCTGAGAGCTCTGAGACCTGTTCAGAATGATTCCTAAACTGGAAACTCCTTGAAAAGGACAGAGCTGGTTATTTTGGGAGCAGCCCTTGATCTTTAGCTCCTTGCATCAGCAAAGACTGAATTGAGGTGGCCCAGAACCTTCAGTTACAAAACCCTGATGCAAACACAGCCCACCCAGGCCAGCAAAGCTCACCCAGCAGCCCCATCCCTTCCCAGGAGCCAGTGCCCAGCTTGGAGCACACTGGAGATGACACTAGGGCCAGCTGAGGCCACTTGCCTGTCACAACTTACCCGGCTTGGGGTGTGTTCTGGAACCAGGCAGCAGCAGGGAGAGCATCCCAGTTCCATGTCAGAGCAGAGGGGAGGACAGGAAGAGGTTGTTAATGCCAAGCCTGTGCCCCACATACCCAGGCAGGAAGGAGAGAGGGGCACAGCAGGGCAAGGCAGGGAACAGCAGGACACAGGTTTAGAAAACAAATAAATCACACCTGATTTCCCACTTAGCCCACCTGAGGTGTGGATTCTCTGCTGTCTAATGGGAGGTCAGCACCTTGGTGTTCCTCAGGGGAATCTCTATCCACCCACCTCCTTCCAATAAATGATCCCAGCTTTGGAATCTCTTCCCTAGACATGACAACGGGTCCAAAGCCACCAGGAGGGGACGAGCTGTTCGGCCAGCTGAGATCCCCTGAATCACACCCATCCTATTTCCTTAGGAAGCCATGCCTAGAAGCCCTGCTTGGAAACTCTGAGGCTTTTAAACATGCACAGCAAAGCAGCTCCACTTCCCCGAGCCCGGGGAAGAAGTGCCAAGCATTTACTGCAAATCCAAGCACAGGGTTTTGGGCTGGGGTTCAGCAACCTTCCCTGGCTGATTTGTGCTCCTAAAGATCCACCAGCACTTGGAGAGAACGAGTCCAGGTCCCTGCTGGCAAAAAGAGGCAGGCAGGGATGGGAAGCTGAGGGATTCTTGCAGGCACTGCTCCAAGGCTGTGGTCTGGAGTGGGACCAGATGCCTGCCATCAGCCCTGCACCCCTGGCTCAGCTTGACTCACACCAGCTCTGGCTAACTGTGGCAGAGCACAGAGAATTAACCCCAGACAGATGGAGCATTTCAACCTTTTTTTTTTTTTTTCCCTTTAAAAATAAGGAATGGCCGTCACCACAGCCAGACACCCAGGCTGAGAGAAGTTCTGGCTGGAGGCACGGGCTGCCCGGGCTCTGAGGGTTAAGCAGGCTCAGCACAGCCCAGCCTGCTTTTATTCTCTCTCTGGACTTTGTTTTCCTCCTTTGTGGAAGCCATCCTTAAAGAAACACGGACAGGATTTGAACTGCAGACAGCTGTGTGTGCAGGGGGGGCAGAGCTGCCACCGACAGTCTCCTGCTGCTCTTTTCACCACCTCGAAATCTTACAAGCCAAACCAGACCATGAGAACCTGCAGCAAACCCCACCCCGTGCCCGGCTTTGCTGCTGCTCTTGGGTCCTGACCCAAGTGCATTTCAGTCAGCGCTTTCCCCAGGGGAGTCTGCAGGGAAACATCACTCCTGCTAAATTTGGCTGCCTGTTTCTAGCCCACAGAGCTGGCCAGAGCCTCTCTCCTTGTCCCAGCCTCCTCTCAGCACAAGCACTCAATGCCTGTGCTCTGAAAAGGTGATTTGAGCTCAGAGCAGCTTCTTTGTGCAGCCCTTCAGCAGCAACAGGCCACGAGCAAAGCTGGGCAGCGTCACTGATTTGGCCCAGGCCTGGCAGTAGCATTCAGAGCACTGATTTAATAATGATTAAATATTGATGATGTTTGTAAGGCACTCGGTGATCCTGACAGGAGGAGGCACCCATATGGACTAGGAATTAGTGTAATTTACACGGCACAACACACTCAATGAGGCTCTGCTTTCTAAATTCCTTGCCCCAGGCCTGTGGCTGTCACAGTTTCTACCAGTGTTTTCCCTAAAAGTCTCATCTTTAAATATCAGATCTTTACTTGGTGTTAAACATGGTGTAAAAAGAGAGGATTTCTTTGTGGTGGCCTCATGGAGGGGGGACCCTGGAAACACCCAGGGGAGCAGGGAGACCTGTGTGTGTGTGCACAAACACTTGCCCAGAGCCAGGGCTGCACACAGAGCATCACTGCAGAGCAGCAGCTCCCGGGTCAGAATCAGAGCCAGCCTCCTGGGGCTGCAGGCATTTCATCAGCTGGATTTGCCACCCCCAGGGATGCAGGAGCCTCAGGAAAGAGGCAGAGGATCCCTGTGCGCTGCACTGACACAGCCAGCCTTTACAGGGTTAACCCAGCTGTGCTTCTTCCCCTTACCTCTGTTCTCCCCATCCTGGGCCACTCTGTCCTCCTTGGTGGCCAGCTGAGCCTGTGCCATCAGTGCCCCCGAGAGGGCCAGGAGCCCCGCGGTGCCGCTGGCCCCACTCAGGCTAGAGGGCTGCATGCTGGAGGGGTGGGGTGCCAGCGGGAGGGGGGATGCGTGGTGGGAGAGGTGCTGAAGCTGCTGCTGCTGAAAGAGAAAGAGCAAATGGTCCTGGATGTGGAGGAGCAGCCGCAGCCATGCCCGGCGCTCCCCTCCCCTCCCCGCGGGCTGCGATGCGAAGCGCGATGGGATGAGACGAGGAGGGGCCGGTGGAGCTGTGGGGGCTGCACAGGCTGGCTCACACCCCCTGCCCCTTCCCCGGGTTCTGAGGCTTCAGCAGGCTCAGCACAGCCTCCTTCTATTCTCTCTCTCTCTCTCTCTCTGCACTTTGTTTTTCTCCTATGCCCCCTCCACCCGCAAGTCCCACCCTGCTGCAGACAGGACCCCAAACACACGGCACAGCCCAGGCCATGGCTCTGCCCTGCTCTGGGGACATCCCAGAGGGCACCCAGAGCCTCCAGGACACCGTGGCAAATCCCTTCACCACCACGGGTGCATCAAAACAGTCAAAACCCCGACTTCCCCCATCACTGCAGGGCCCGAACCCCCAGGCAGGAAAGAGTCTTTGCCCGCAGCCAGGCAGGACAGCTCACCCCGACGATGCTGTTGAGCTCCCCCATGGTCACCTGCTTGGCCCGTTCCACTGCCTGCAGGACCTGCTGCTGGTGCTGGGGAGGAAGAGCAGGGGGGTGGTCACACCGTGCTCCTGGCTGGAAGGAGCACTTGGCTCCATGCTGCCCTCCCACCCCTGCACAGCCCCTTCTCCCAGCCCTCCAGCCCAGCCAGGAAGGTTTTCTTCCCCAAAACCTCCCGTTGTTCAGGCTGGACTTTGATTCGCCCCTTCCCAAGAAGCCAGAGCGATCTGATGCACACCCCCTGCCTCCTCCTTACCTCCTGCGTCAGGAAGGGAATAATCTGGGCACAAATGGCACTCAGTCTCTTGACAATCTCTGCCTGAAAGAGGAAGCAGGTATCAGCAGGTATCAGCAGAGATGGAGGGCTCCGAGCCCCATCCTGTCCCCCTCCTGCAGCCAAGCATCCTGCAAACAAACACTCAGCCTTGGCGGAGGAGTTCAACCCTCCCACCCACGCCCTCTTGGCGGAAATTCTCCTGCTGCCTCTGCATCCCTGCTGGGATTTCCCGAGCTGCTGCCAAGGGAGGGCTCTGCCCAGGGCTGCTGGACCCCCTTAGGCTGCCAGGCACATGGGAGGGAACCCACGGCTAAATCCCTCGGTGGCCCCAGGCCAAGGCGAGCTCCAAGCTGTCAGTCCTTTCGCAGCCCAGCTGGCTTTGCTCAGCCCAAACCCATCCCGGCTTTGCGGGCTGCCGTGGCCAGCGGGCAGGGATGGAGGGGAGCCGAGCCACAGGCACTGGCAGCGGGCCCTGCCTGTGCCTTCCCTCCCCAAACATCCAACTCAAAGCAGGGCAGACCAAGCAGGATTGCACAGATTCAGCTCTCTTGGCATCGCACCAGCAAATCCCGCAAGGCTCTGCTGGTTGTACCCACCCTGACCCGGAGCAGGGGCTCCGTTCCCATCCCCATCGAGCCCTGAGCTCCCCCTGCTCCTTCAGAGGCACCCCCAGACCTGCCCCTGCCCACAAGGGAATGCAGAAAACCCGGTGCATCCTCTGAGAGAGGCTCTGTGGTTGCAGACAAACCCACAGCGTTCCCACCAGGGCAAGCGGTGCTTCCGAGGAAAGGGGCTGAGCCCTCCAGCCCAGCCTCTCCAGGAGAAAACCCACATCTCCTGGGGAAAACTGGATTCCCCCCCTGCTGTAAATCCACCCCGGGACTGGCTGCTCGGAAGGGTTTTATCAGCTCAGGTTTCTGACAATCCCCACCGGTGTTGCGGAGGTCAAACCAGGCTCGGAGCCAAGGGAGAACAAAGGGAACATTTCCCAGCTGTGCCCCACACCCAGCAGCACCCTGTGCTCACCTGCGGGTCCCAGCAGCTCCCTCAGCCACTGCCACCATGCCCACAGAGCCAGAGACCCCCTCTCCTGCCCGGGCTCCCACTTCTCAACCACTTGGCCATCACCCCGTGGGCAGTCCCCGGCCCCACCGGGCTTGGGCCACCCCTGGCTCCCAGCCCCACTGGATTTTGGAGCATGAAAGGGTGGCAGGAATGTGCTCGTGGTCTCCACCACGCTCCCTGCTAACAAAAGGAGCAAACTCGGAGGGGCTGAGCCAGCTGGAGGGATATGGCAGTTGACTTGCCACTTTGTCAGGCATTGGTCCAAACTAATTTCCCTGGCAGAGAGCCCATGATGACTAGATTGATAAATCTGAAGAAGGAAAGCAAATTAACGCTGGAACAAAAGGGGAACCAGGGAAGGGTGAAAACACTCCTCTGGCTTTGGGAAAGGAAAAGGGGATTAAGAAAAAAAGAAAAGAAAGACAATCCATTTGCCTCTGGGCTCTAGCTCCTGCTGTTTCCTCCATATCCCTCCTTCAAGTGGGGCCCCAGGGAAGCACTGCAGGGAGGCACCAGGGCTCACAGCAGGGCTCTGAGCAGCCCCTCTTTGGGATGGGGAACTCAATAACACATCCTGACAACTGCTGGATCCCTTTTCAAGCTACACGGGCTCAAGGGAGATCATTTTCCAACGGAGTCTCCAACCTCAACCTCTTCCTCACCCTCCCCTGCTGCTGGCCCGGCCCCCACTGCACTTACCTGCTTGTGCATTTCGATGTTCAGGCCGTAGGACATCTCGTAGTACTGAGAGGAAAACCACAACACAGCCTGGTTAGGAGCTATCCAGAGCAACTGGCCCAGCCCCAGCCTGGGGTTTGGCTGGCTCCAGCCCACGAGGAATGGCTGGGATGCTGTGCCAGGAGCCTGGGACAAGGTAGGGAGCAGTTAACACCTGCAGTTTCTGCACTGGTTTATGCCAGGGCAAGCCAGTACTGATGCCCCCCAGATCCTGGCCTGGCCTGTGCCACCCCACTTGGAACCTGTTTTCACACCCTGGCACAGCTGCCCACCCACTCAGCCTGTGCAAAGATGACAACAGGTTACACCCTTCAGCAGCCACCAGTGACTCTGCCAGGGGTGCTGACCCCAATCCCTCACACCTGGGGAGAAGAGGGGTCCAGAGGAGCTGCTTTCCTCCAGCAAAGCCTATTCCAAAGGTGGCAATCCACTTCTGGAAATCCCTGAGCCTCCAGGATGTGGGCAGGGATCCCAGCTGAGGGGTGAGAGGAACATGCCCTGCAATATCAGCACCCCAGACTCACAGTCAGGGCTGTACTCACCCCTGGGATGGGGCTTGCCCAAGTTCACATCTTTTTGCCTCTTGGATGCAAAATGGGTTCCCCTTTCCCCAGAGGGGCCAGTAAGGTCAGATGCTGAAGGAGAAGGAACTGCTCTGCTGCCCCTGTCCTCTTTCCTTCCTCCCAGTAGCTCCCCTGCTCCTGGCTGGTGCCCAGCTCAGTCTGCCCTGGGGCCTGTTAACCCCTCATTGGCAACACTGGAGGGCTCCTGCCCTGCTCCTTCCCCTTCCACCCAAACCACGAGCCTTGGAGCATCAGTTCTTAAACACCCCCCCTTGGGAGACAGAGACAGAGGAGTGGGGAGCTGTCTTACAAGGCCAGATAGGAAAAGGTAAAAAAAACATCAAACCAAAACAACACTCCCCCAAAAAAAGAGACAAAACCTATGGCAGGATTCCCAGGCTCAAGCAGCGCTGAGCAGCGAGACAGCAGCAAAAGAGCTGAAATGGTGATTAACTCTTTCCTCCCTGACATCTCCCCAGCGCCAAGGTCAGCACTGAGGGGAGCCCCGGCACCCAGAGGTGTCTGAGAGGGGACAGTCCTTCAGGGGAGCCAGGGGGACGCGGCAGGGTCAGCTCACCATGACATAATGTCTCTGCATCTCCGTCTTCTCGCTCACCAGCTTCTCGCATTCCAGCTTCAGGCTGCAAAGGGGAGCCAGGGCTTCCACTCAGGGACCTGCAGCTCCTGCCCCATCCCTGGCACCGGGGCAAGCTCAGCACGGCTCCCGCGGGCTCACGGGGCTGCAAGGCTGTCACACACCCAGCCTGGGGCACCTGCACCCCACGGCTGTGCTGGGCACACACCTGTAGCACCCAGCCACAGCTCTGTCCCCCCTCCCTGTCCCCACACCCCGCTCAGCCAGAGGAAACGCGGCTGATCTTCCCCTTGGAACCCCCGCTCAAGACCTGGCGCCCCAACTGAGGGTTTCCTCAGCCCAAACCCCTCTCCCCTTCCCCGGGTACCTTCTCTCCACCTCCTCCTTCCCCCCTTTCCCCCCTGCTCCAGCCTCCCTTGTCCCATCACAGCTGTGCCCCGGGCGCTCCCTCCGCCCCCGGCCCGTGACCCCACCTGTGGTACTGCGCCTGCAGGAACTGGAATTCCTCCTTGATGCGGTCGCAGATCTCCAGCACCGAGAACTTGAAGGGCTGCCCGGGCTGGAGCGGGGGCTGAGGAGAGACAGCCCGGCTGGAGGCTGCGGCTCGCTCCCGCGGCCCGGCCCGGCCCG